TCCCCCTCCTCCTCCTCCTCCTCCTCCTCCTCCTCCTCCTCCTCCTCCTCCTCCTCCTCCTCGCATCCTCCGCCTGTGGCCTGGCGCCCGCGACTGCTCGGCTCAAGCGGGCGCGGGCGGCGCGGGCGACGGGCCGGGCAGGCGCGGCGCCGCTCGCAGTCAGCCAGCCGTCGGCGGCATGAAACATAGCACTGCGAGGGCGCACGGGGGAACGGCAGGTTCGTGTCGTGCCGACCTCAGCGTTGGTTTTTGACACCGCAGGGATCGTTCAACCTTGAACGATCGGCCGCTGCCGCAACGTCCGATCGTTCAACATCGATCGATTCTGGGTCGCCGGCGGCGTTCAACCTTGAACGCCCGCGCTGGGGTCGCCGCTGGTCGACACGACGCAAACCTACCGAAAGCCTTTTCGTGGGGCTCTAGGGCGCGCTGTTCGGCCGAAAAGCTCAGCGCCAAGCTGAAACTGCAGTGCAGCTGGATGGGCCCGCTCGCAAGTACCAGAAGATGCTCGGCCACGCAGGCCTACTGCTGGGAGTCGATGCGCAGGTGGCGGACAGGATCCTCACGCCCCTGCCCGCCTTCATCCAGCTGACCAGCGGCACCGGCATCGAAACGTTGTTGTGGAGCGTTGTTGGCGTGCGTGGGTCGGGCTGGGAGTGTCCTGCTCCGTCGGGGTGCTCTTTCCGGAACCTCTGTGCCCATCCGCGGCCTGGAAGGCTTTCCGGGGCCCTTGGGAGGCCTCTCGGGGCGTCTTGTGGGCGTTTGGGGTGCCTCTTGGGGCATTAGGGGGGGCTCTTGGGGCGGAAAGCTCGACTTGCTGGTTCGAATTCGCCCCCTTGGGCCGCTCCTGGGGTCGCCAGGGGGTCCTTCGCGGCCGTCACGGGCGCCTCTTAAGCCATCTTGTGGCCGCCTTGGCGCCCTCTGGGGCAGTCTTGGGGCCGTTTGGGGGCGCCTCTTGGCCGTCTTGGGTGGGTTTCGGGGGCCCCTTGGGCCGTGTTAGAGCATCCGAAACACGAAACATACAGAACCCGAAAAACTTCGAAAGCCAGAGATAAATCAGCGATTCTTGTCTCGGGGCGCCCTTGCGGGACTGTTCTTGAAATGCACTTGAGGCCTCTGGGGAGCATCTTGGGCCGTCTTGGGCCTACCTTGGGCGTTTTCGGGCGCCCTTGGGCCAATCAGTGCGTGGGTCTGGCGCCTCCTGTGCCGCCCAGGCCCTCTCGCCGAGCCATCTGGAGCCTTTTCGGATGGCGGTGCACCCCCATGGCGCAGGGATGTCCCTGGGCCGAAACTCCCGGCCCTCGTTCCCTGGGATCCATACATATATATATATATATATACATACATACATACATACATCTACAACACATGCACGAACATGTAAACGCATACATACATATATATACATGGGAGCATACATACAGGCATACATACATACATACACAAATACATGCATGCATGCATGCATGCATGCATGCATACATACATACATACACATATACATACACACATACATACATACATACATACATACATACATACATACATACATACATACCTACCTACCTACCTACCTACCTACATACATACTACATACATACATACATACATACATACATACACACACATGCATGCATACATACAACCATGCATGCATACATGCATACATGCATACATGCACACATGCATACATGCACACACATACATACAGACATGCATGCACACATACATACATACAACACACAAACAAACAAACAAACAAACAAACAAACAAACAACCATGAATGCATATATGCATACATACAGACATACATACATGCATACATATACACATACATGCACACACATACATGCATACATACACACATACATACATACATACATACATACATACATACATACATACATGCATACATACATACATACAAACATATATACATACATGCATACATACATACATGCATGCATCCATACATGCATACATATATACATATATACGCATGTATGCATGCATACATGCATGCATGCATGCATACATACATGCATGCATACATACAAACACACATCCATACATACATACATGCATGCATACATACATACATGCATACATATACACGTACACCCATACACACCTACATACATACACACATACATACATTCATGCATGCATGCATACATACATGACTACATACATGCATACATACATACACAGATGCATGCATGCATGCATGCATACATACATACAGACATACATACATACCTATATACATGCATGTATGCATGCATGCATGCATACATATATACACGCAACACCATACGTAAATATAAATACATGCATATATATACACAAATACATACATACATACGTACGTGCGTACATACATACACGCATGTAAAACACAGGTGTGAGTATGTGCATATATGCAGAGATAGAGAAACTACAACAAACAACCAGAGACATAGAAAGAGAGAGAGAGAGAGTGAGATAGGCAGAGACACACACAGAGTGCGCTGACCGGAGCACACAAAGCAAGCATCCGAGAATCCGCCTCAGATCTCGATGACCAAGTGTCGCCCGATTTCGGTCGCCTCTGGGCGGCGGGAGCACTGGGGAGGCGAACCGTCATGCCCGACGAGGTGGCCTACAGCCCAAACGCAAGGATCACTAACACGTCGCACAGGGAACCAAGCCCTGAACCGCCGACTGCCGCGAGGACGGCCTCCTCCTCCTCCTGCCAAGGGTCCCGATCCGAGCCCACACGAGCAGAGGAACACAACAACCGCAGAGAGACACAGCTCCGGAGGTCCGCGCGGAGTTGTCCGACCGGTGCTGAAAAACTCCCTCCACAGCGCCGGAGAGCGCGCGCGGCGCCCGAGCGCCCGCGGCGCCGCCGGGGGCTTCCAGCGCCGATCCGAGGAATCCGTGCGGAGCTCCAGAAGTGTATGTGTGCTTATGCCGTTGCTCGTTCGTCGATCGGAAGCCGGGCAAGGGCCGCTAAAATCCGTGGCTGCTGCAAACGACCTCCGGGAAGTCGTCTTCGTCCTTCCGGGAAGAGGCCCGTTCACCGTTTCGAGTGCCGCGCCTCATTCCGGGAAGCTGTTTTTTTCCTTCCGCGAGGGCCGTTTTCGCAGCCACGGTTTTAGCAGCCCTCGCCCAGCTTTCGAGTCGAAAGAGGCCCACGGTGTCGCCCAGGATCCAGCGCGCCTCCCCTGCAGCTGAACTGGTCTGGGAGCCCTCTGTCCCTCGGGTTGACCCAACAGGGGATCCAGCGACAAGGGGGTGGTGCAATAGATTTGGTGCAATAGATTGTGGGGTTGCGATACTTTTGGGGCGTTCAATACACTTCGGGGCGCAAATGTATTGCTGCACTTTGGCGTGCAATACATTACTTGCAAGACAATGCAGTACATTTCTCTGGCGCAGTACACCGACAATGCAATGGCCCAGAATCCATTGCACCACCCCCTTTCAGCTGGACCCCCTTTTGGGTCACCCAGAGTCCCTCTCGTGCCTGGGCCCTCGGTCCGCGGGGGGATCTCAGGAGATCCAGGCCGACGACGACGACGACGATGACGGACAGGCAGCAGCTACTCCTCCCGGGCCGCGCTGCACGACGACGGCGACGGCAACGGCAACAGTGACGGTGACGGTGACGACGACGACGACGACGACAAAGACACAGACGACGACGACAAAGACGACGAGAGCCCCGGGGTGGCCCGAAGAGAGTCGCAGAAAGGCCCCAAGATGAACGCAGAGGGCACCTCCCCCAAGCTCGCCCTCTTGTCCCCCCCAGCGCCGGGGAAGCGAACGCGCAGTCCACCAGCAGGGCCGCACCGTTGCTCTCGACATGTTTTTGTCCAGGGGTGCTGTTTCCAGAGGGCAGGGGGCGGCGGCGATTCGTGGCAGTCGTCTTCGAGAATCCCCCCTCGTGGCACAACCAGACGTGTCGGTGGGGCGTGCACAGACAATATGAGAGACTTTGCTTCATCACAACTGTGGTTCTGAAGCTTGACAGGTGCTCGGTGTTCTCGCCTTGGCGCCTCGCACGTTCGTCTTGAAAGTCTCCAGGCACCCACACGGACGGAGCTCCTGTGCTTGTCCCACACGTGGCTCTCGCCTTTACCGCAGCACGCGTCTGCCCCAGAGCCCACGCAAGTACCAAGGATGGAGGGCACCTGCTTCTCAAAGTTTGGACTCTCGCCGTTGAGACAGCCACGCGTGTCTTCCACGCGCGATTCAGGGTGTAGGCGGCTCCGTCCCAAAGTATACTCTAGAGCGAGACTTGCAGAACTGTACCATTCATGTACGGCGACATCCTCAGGACCGTGGGCCCCAAACAAGCGCTCTTGCACTCTCGATGTGCGCTTCATGTGGTGCAGGAGCTGGGCGAGGGGCAACCATGCAATGCAATCTATGTGAATCTATATATATATATAGATATACATATCTATAGCCGTATCCATGAATATGTATATGTGCATATATGTATACGTGCATACGTATGAAATGCACTATGTGCAGTGCACCCTACACCGTGCAAGATTATGTGGTGCAATATGTGATGTGTATATATATGTATATATGTGTACATAGGTTGGTCTACATATGTGTATATATACATATGAACCCGGGACGAGAGTTCGCAGCCCCCCCCCAAGATGGGATCGGCCCCAGGGTTCCACCGGCCCCCCCCCAAGGTGGGATGGGGGGGGGGGACGACGACGACGACGACGACGACGACGACGACGACGACGACGACGACGACGACGACGACGCCGACAGCGACGGAAAACGACGATGACAGCGACGACATGCCACCTCACACCCACAAGGAGAGGAGCGGGGGCACCCGCAGCCACCCACCAGAACGCAACGCCCACAGGGCCATGACCACAAAGGCGGGGGGGGGAACGATCCCATTCGCGAGGCCCTGCGACCTTGGTCTCGGAAAGCTCTCTGCGAAAGCAGCGGAACGTCCACCCTCCACCACGCCACGCCCACAAGCCCACGACCACAACGGAGGGGATAGGGAGCGAACCCATTCGCGAGGCCTTCGCGAGGCTCACGGGCGTACAGCATTTGGAGGGGGAACCTGGGTCATACAAATGTGTACATATAGATAATGCCCGTGTATGTATGTATGTACGTGTGTGCTGTGCATACGAGGCACAAGGAACGGTATGCAAGTGAGCTGCTGCAGTATCTGGGATGCAGAGATGCGTGGTGCACGGAACACTTGCAGAACCTGGCGCCGCCAACTCCACTGTTCGAGCATCCATCCCATCATCTCCCGCCCGGCACTCCCTGGCAGAACCCAACTGGCGCAATGGCACATGCCCCTTTCTTATGCCGATGCATGCCTCGGGCGGGCCAGTGATGATAATGACGAGCAACGGTGATGTTGATGTCAATACTATAGTGATGGTGGTGGCGGTTGACGACGAGGGCGACGACAAATACGATGAGGATGGCAAAGGTGATGATGACGGTCGCGCTGGTGACCGTGATGAAGATAAGGCGGCGTGTTAGGATTACCATGGTGACGCTGGCGATGCTGGTGATGATGATGCTGCTCTGCTGACGATGATGATGGTGATGATGATGGCGATGGCGCTGATACGGATGATGAGGCAATGCGCGTTCACAACCACTAACATAGTGCGTTCGTGAGAAACCAAAGGGTTCCATCTGGGGTGGAATACGTCGATCTTGAATTGTTGAGACGGTCCATGGTGTTGCTAGGACTTCGACGTGCTCGCGCAGAGACGCGCCCATGCGGCGGCGTTGCACTGGTTTAAGAAAAGTTGGCAGGTATGGGATGGTTGCTGCATGATTTCGTCATGCGCGCCCATGTGGCAAGCATGGTCTCAGTGGACAGAACGGACACACCCAACTGCTTACCTGGGAGGTCAGGGGGGACGCGCACCCAGACAACCGACATTGCGTTTAAGAGCTATGAGTGTTGCTACATGTTGTAAAACACCCGTTTGGCATCCACGGTGTTAACCATTGCGACGTGTTTGCGCGACTGTTGCCCCGCCTGACGTTGTTTGAACACGCACTTGTGAGACAAACACGAATCCGCAAATCATCATAGTATAGCACCCCGCAGATGCGGGTAAGAGTGAGATAGCGGTGGGGACGTCGGCAATTTGCGAGGCTGTGGGGAAGCGGACCGCAGGCGCCACAGTTTCACAAAGTATACAACGAGCCCGCCGCAGGCGCCGATTATCTCGTTGAACCAGTGGGTAGGTCGCAGGTAGGTCGCGCGGGTGGGTCGCGGGTGGGTCGCGGGTGGGTCGCGGGTGGGTCGTGGGTGGGTCGCGGGGGTCGCGGGCGGTGTCGCGGGGGGTCGCGGGTGGGTCGCCGGTGGATCGCGGGTGGGAAGCACCCCGTAGATGCGACTAAGAGTGAGGGGGCGGTGGGGACGTCGGCAGTGTGCGAGACTCTGGAGAAGCCGACCGCAGGCGCCGCAGTTGCACAAATTGCACAACTGGCCTGCCGCAGGCGCCGACTATCTCGTTACACCAGTGTGGGTAGGTCGCGGGTGGGTCGCGAATTGATCGCGGGTGGGTCGCGGATGGGTCGCTGTTGGGTCACGCGTGGGTCGCGGGTGCGTCGCGGAAGGGTCGCGGGTGGGTGGCGGGTGGGTCGCGGGTGGAGTCGCGGGTGGGTCGCGGGGTGTGTCGCGGGTGGGTCGCAGGTGGGTCGCAGGGTGGGTCGCGGGGTGGGTCGCGGGAAGGTCGCGGGCGGGACGACGACAACAAACAAACAACCAAACTAACAAACAAACAAACAAACAACGCAACAAGCATAGTCCTCACCATGGATCCCGACTTCAGCCACGCACCCAAAGACGATGAATGACCGTTCGGCCCTCGCACTCTGACTGTAACAGTGGTGAGTGGGGGGAACCAGCTGCCTGGCTGAGGCGATACGAGATAAGATCTAGCACGAGCTGCCGTGCACGATCCGTGCTCTTGAGTTAAGTTGGGCGTGTCCACCTACAGGGGGAATTTCGATGAACAGATATTCAAAAAATACTCCTAAAATGTCAGAAAATGCTAAACAATAGTCCCCAGACTATTATTGGACTGGCTTTGAATATTCCTCCTGTAGAGGGACAGGCCCGACTTAACCCTTGAGGCACGAGCTGGAGTGTCCTCAAGCCCCTGGCTCGAACTCCTGAAGGCTCAGCCCTCACCCTGGAAGACAAGAGAGAGTGTCTAAATTGTCGGCGCTTCCGTGCGGGACGTCCTGCATACTGTGCACGTCTAAATTATTCAACTCCGCGTCTAAATCTAAGCCACAAAATGTTGTAAATTATAATGGTTTCTGAACGTCGTTCGTAGCAAATTTAGACACGAATGTGAATTGATACATTTTCCATAAATATAGACACGAATATGCACGACGTATACACGATTTAGACACGTTCTGGTAGATTTATACACGACTTTGGAAACGGCTCTGATGTATACATTATTTAGGCACTATTTAGACATGCCGCGCGTCTAAAAATAATCGGCCCGCTGGATTGAAACACCTCGTTAAACGCGGCGCAACACGGCACCCTCGAGCCTAG